TCCAAAAAGCCCAGATAATGAAAGATTTGTCCAACAAATGGTGACGATAGGTCAATTTTTTTGTTTCTCAAGGTAGTGTGGCAGTTTAAGTAAATGATGACGTTGGCCATTGCTTTCAGATAAAAAAAGGACTTTACGTTAGGGTGACCCCGTTTCTACAATGTTACTTAACATTATTGCTAACATGTTAGCTATCCTCATTGATCACTCTAAGCAAAACTTTTAGATTGCAGGACTAGTGCCACCCCTAGTGGATGGTGGCCTCTTTATTGTGCAATATGCCAATGTGATGATTCTTTTTGTAGTACGTAACATGGATAAGGCTCAAAACATGAAACCCTTTCTTTCATCGTTTGAGCAAATGTCTGGTCTTAAAATTAGCTTTCATAAAAGTGTTTTTTTTTCTTTGGAGAAGTCAGAGAGAAGGCTGCTGCATATGATGACTTCTTGGTTTTTTCTTTGTTTCTTCTTCTTTTTCATTTTCTTAAATTTGTGAACTTTTCTCAAGTCCATGAACTTATTTTAAGGATGTCAAGAAACAATAGGTTCTCGGACGGAGCGTTCTGGCCTACCAGACACCATTTGTCGAATATGGTCTAGTTTTGGACATCCTTCAAGTGACCGCAACTTTTGAACGATTTCAGAGATCATATTCATGGTGTGATACGTCCGGCCATTTATTGGTCTTTTTTCATCGAAAGAACTGAAGAAAATGCAAAACTTGTCAAAAATCCAAATAACTTGGCATGGTGCCATGAATTGGTCATACAAGACCATGAAAAAAATATTGGGTCCATTTCAAGGATGTCAAGAACAACGCGCTCTCAGATGGAAACTTCTGGCCAAACAAAAACCCTTCACCAAACATGGTCTAGTTTTGGACATTCTTGAAATGACCTCAAGTTTTTCAAGCGTGTGGGCATGGCCATGATAGTCATTCATGCCAGGTTTGGGAAAAAAACGAACTGTATGAAAGTTGTAGCACGTTAGACCATTTATCGGCTTTTTTTTGACCAAAAAAACTCCAAAAAAAAATATTGTTTTGTTTCAAAAACCAAAAAAACTTTGCATGGTGCCTTGATTAGTTAAGGCCAAAAAATTGGGTCCATTTCAAGAATGCCAAAAAAAATGTGTTCTCGACGGAGCCTTCTGACCTCTTATGCAAGTTGCAACATGTCTGGGCATATATTGTTTTTTTTACCGGAAAAACTCTAGAAAATGATTCTTTTTATCAAAAACCCAAACAACTCGGCACGGTGCCTTGAATTGGTCATACAGGTCCATGAGCTAAAATTAGGTCCATTTCAAGGATGTCGACAAACAACATGCTCTTAATTAGACGGAACCTTCTAACGTACCCGGACATCCTACAATGAACATGGCCATTTTTGGATATGCTTGAAATGACCCAAACTTTTGCAAGTAGGTGTGCATGCCCATGGTAGGAATCCATGCCAAGTTCGAATGATTTTCGACAGTGTATGCAAGTTGTGACACGTACGACAATTTGCCGCTCTTTTTTTACCGAGAAAACAACAGGAAATGTAAAATTTGTAAAAAAAAACCCAAAAAACCTTGCCATGGTGTCTTGAATTGTTCATACAAGCCAATGAAAAAAATTAGGGTTATTTAACGGATGTTGAGGAATAACGTGCTCTCAAAGTCGCACACCATAAATTGAACATGATGATCTTTTCTACACGGATACAAAAATTGTTCGAGCAATTCCAAAAAAAATGGTTTCAAATTGTTGTTCATATTTTGTTTGAAATATTTTGAAATTCCAAATTTGTTTTTCTTTTTCATAAAATGTTAAAAAATAAAAAAAATCGTGTTCAAAATTTTGTTGGTCTTTTTAAAAATGTTCGTGTTTTGAAATTATGAGCAATTTTAAAAAACATTCTAATGAATTCATAAAATGTTCGTGTTTTGAAAAAAAATTGTTTGTAGTTTCAGAAAATGTCCATGTTTTCAGTTTCTTTCCTGTTTTCAGAAAATGTTTGTATTTTCAAAAAATTGTTTGTAGTTTGTTCTCATTTTCAATTTTGCTCCTATTTTTCTTTAAAATAATTGAGATTCTGAAACATTGTTAACAAAATGTTTGATTTTTTTAAATACATGTTCAAAATTTTTGAAAATGTTCAAGTTTCAAAAAAAAATTACTTTGTCGAAAAGAAATTCTCATATACGAAATTTTTAAAAAATTCTTTCGGAACTAGTGATGTTATGCACTCGCGGGAGCTTCTGTGTTAGAGCCGCTCACCCCTTTTAGTATTTGTGAATTGGTGTCTAAGTGTTGCCGCTTTCATTAGCTTCTTTAAGGGTGGCACTTCAATTCTAGCACTTGAGGTATCCAGCTGAAGTGGCTAGCAACTAGGGCGCTATTTTTGTTGATTTTTCACCACGCGCTACGGCAAAAGGGCCGGCCCAGGTTAGGGGGATCATCGTATACGGGTGATCCATCATCTATACGAAAATAAATACAATTTGTCAAACGTCTATCTTGCCCTTTATACGCTTTGTG